GCCGCGGTGGCCCCCGCTGCAGTCAGCTGCTGAGAGGCTTGCTGCAACTGCTGGAGCTGAGCGCCCTGCTGCCTGGCTGTCGTCGCCGCCCGCGCCTCCAGCTCCTGGGCTCGTTTCTCGGCAGCTGCCGCTCGAGCCGTCACGGCCCGCAGCTCGTCCATCACCTGTTGGGCAGTCGGCTGCGCCACTCCTGCTGTAGATGCGCCCGCGGCTGCACGGTCGACCGCTGCCTGCTGCGGCGCTGCCGCTTGCAGCTCCCCCTCCATCTCTGAACCTCCACGCTACGAAGGCCGCGTAGGTGTCGCTCTCGCGGGGCATGAAGGAGCGGCCGTCCTCGTCCACGACGTCGAGCGGCCAAGCGTGGCCCAGTTCCTTGTCGAAGACGATGTCCCCGAACACGCGATGCGTGAACGTCGGCAGGTCAATTTCGCGCCCGGCGATCTTCTCGACGAGGCCAAGGGTCGACCCCAGCAGCATGCAAACGTCTCCTCGCCGTTGTCGTCGCCAGGCGGCGCCCTGTGACCGCCGCCTCCCTCGTTGCTTCCGCCCGCCGAGGCAACGCCTCGACCTGCAAGGGGTCTGGGAAGGCCTTGCTGCCCTCCGCGGCCCGCGGCTCTTCCGCTGACCGCTGGGTTCCCCTCCACGGCCTGCGGAGTTTCCCGCTGGTTGCTGGGCCAGACGCGGCCGCCCTCCGCGGCCCGCGGAACCTCCCGCAGCCGCTGGGCCAGCACTTCCGACGCAGAGCCCCTGGATCCTCAGGCCACGAGCTCCGCTGCCATGCACGCCCCCCCCCTCGGAGCCGCGATCCTTTTTGATCCTGGAAGGGCTGCGGTTTTGCGCCTTCCCAACATCCCAGAACTAGTTTCATAGCTCTGGCAACCTGGCACAACGCAATTTCTAGCCAACGCGTGTGCACCGCATGGTGTTGTTTGACAGAGATGATGAGGGGGTCGATATAGGTATGGATGGGACCATATTATTTGGCGTGTGAGATGAGCGTTCGTACAACGCCGAAAAAAACACAGAAGTGTTCCGAAAACTCTGGCCTCGGAGCGGGGATCCGTATGGGAGCGAAAATATGTTTGAGAACATGTAAGACGTTAGCCTCAATGCTTGGATACGACCTCCAATCTCTGTGGCGGTGACTGGGATGCGGCAGCGGCGACGGGCAGCGAGCGGGCAAAACCTGGAAGCGCCAGCCAACGCAAATGGGGGCGACGGCGACCGGGCGAAAACTCGGAAAGGCCAGCCCACAGCGCAAACAAGGGCGACAGGGCGGCGACGGGGCGAAACCCTGGAAGTGCCAGCCAGCGCACGGGGCAGCGACGGTTTGCGACCGACTGTGATAGTGCGGCCAAGCGAAAACATCGATGTGCTAGCCAGCGCACGGGGCGGCGATTGGCGGCGATGTGGGCGGAAACCCCGACATGCCGGCCAGTTGCCCACAAGAGAAACGAGCCACGTTGTGCAAGCACCGCTTCGTGAACAAGTTCGACGGAGCCCCTTCAAACAGGGACGTGTCGTCGTCGGCGTTGCAAACTGCGTGGCGGGAGTGGGACGAGGCACGCATCGCGGGCGAGGGAGCCACATGTCGTTTTCGCCCAAACTCCGCGCATGTTTTTCCTGAAAGTTGCGGGCCCGCCTGGGCGCGGCGCACGCTTTTCGCTCACCGATCCCGCAATCGGCTGAGTCGCGCGGCAGCGGGCGAAATATCGGTCTAGCCCTAGCGCCGCGCAAATTTCACCTGACAACTGCGCTCCCGCTTGGACGCGGCGCATGTTTGTCGCTCGCACAACTCACCGTCAGCGGAGCCGCGCGCAGGAAGGTGAACTGTCGCTCTCGCGAGCGCACTGGACAGATGTTATAAAAAAATGGCGGTCCCCCTTGTGTCGCGGCGCACAGCTTGCCTTCGCCAGTCCTGCCGAGCAATTGGCCTGGCCGCGTGCGAGGAGGGCCGACCGTTGGGTGAGCTTGGGAGCCTTCATGGACACTGGTCAGATTTCGACCACCCATCTTCACCCTTTCGCTCAGATTTCGTCCAGAGTTTGACCAAATCCGACGAAATCTGGACGAGTTCCGCAAAACCGCAAGGACCTTTGGGACCCTCTGAGGCTCCCATGAAGGAAGGACCGCACCACTGAACGCTGGCTCTCGCCGAAAACCCGCGCAGGGATGCTTTCCGAGTTCCGCTCCCGCCGCCCGCCGCTGCGCGGCCCGCGTGCACCCCTCGTCGAGCCGTCGGGCGAACGCCACTCGCTCGCCGGGCGGAAGCGCGCGCGGGTCCCGACAGCCACTCTGGCTCGTTCGAGCTGGCTGGCTAGCCCAGCCACCAAATTGCTCCTCCCTCCCTCCCTCCCTCCCCTCCCCCGTCCCTTCCTTCCTTCCACCCTTCCCATCCTCACTCTCCATCCCTCCAGACGTACCCCATCCTCGCCCTGGATCCCAGCCCACGCGCACCCGACAAGGAGGATCGGGGCAGAGAGTGAGGAGAGGAGGAGACGGAGTGCGACCAGGGGCAGAGGCAGGAGGAGGAGACGAGGAGGGAGGAAGGGAGGGAGCAGGATTCCGAACAGGAGGGGCAGCAGCAGCAGCAGTGAGGGAGGGAGCACGGGCAGGAAGGTCGGATGGGCAGCAGCAGCAGCAGCAGCAGCAGCAGCAGAAGGAGAAGGGGAGCGGGAGCAGCATGACCAGGCATCAGGAGCATGGGCGGGAGGAGCGGCAGCAGTTAGGAACGCACGGCGCCGGTGCTAGGCAGAAATGCAGGGCACGTACGCCCGTGCCCTTTCGGGCAGGGCGCGTGAGGCCGTATAGCCTCACGTCGTGTGTCAGCAGGAGTCTTGTGTCAGATCCTCTTCGCCCGCGGCTGCGCCGCAGAGGTAGAGAGTCGGCCTCCAGAATGCCCAGCCCCTTGGCCGGCTCCCAGCTACACCCACAAAGGCTTGAGCCCCAATTAGGGGGAGAGAGATAGAGAGAGAGAGAGAGCAGGAAAGAGGGAGCCCGCGCAATCCTGGGGTGCTGGAATCCGCGAGAGACGCGCTCTCAAACGAGCTCCACCACACCTTGTCCGTCGCGGCCATAAGCCATCTCGCATCATTGCTGTCGTAATGGAGGTATCATCGTGGATGGATGGCTTCGTCGACATTAATCTAGAGAGAAGGGTTCCGACTCAGTGCTCGCTGCGTCCATCGGGTTGGTAGGTGGCTTGCAGCGTGCGCAGCCCCGCACCGGACTCTTGTGCCATGTACCTGCTTCACGTCGGGGATATCCTGCACGTGCGTGAGCCCTTCGGCACTCTGGCGGATGAGCTCAGAACTAGAGGCCTCCTAAATGGGGTCGGAGTAGATGTGGTCGGAGGATCACGCCGCATCGCCGGTACATCGGCGATGCATCGGCGATGCATCGGCGATGCATCGACGATGCGTCGGCGATGCATCGGCCACGCCGGCATGGACAGAATCGGGCTCCACATCGCGCCGCATCCCCGATACATCGGCAATGCGTCGCGATCCTCCAGCCCCATCTGCTAGGACCCCATCTAGGTCTAGAAAAGTACAGTTTCTTGACGTCGGTCATCTGCGCGTGGGACTTGTGAGGTGCGTCGCCAGTGCCTTCCGTGTGCTGGACCTCTCTGCCGGGGGATGTACGGGAGTGGGGAAGGATCCTGACCCGCCAGGAGGGCTCAAAAACATCACCACGACCGTCGAACTGAAACCTCCGTTCGAGGAGATAGAGGTTGCCCTGACTGGTCCAGATTTTCTGGCGCTGGCCTCGCCGGGTACAATGCACACGCCCGATCGATGCCAGGACCCTGGAGTCGGGAGAGGGAGGGAGCGATGAGGTCGAGGAGCAGGAGCAGCAGCCCGAGCAGGGGTGGAGGCCTGGCGGAGGGTGAGCCAGCGCGAAGCGGCAAGGAGCAGCAGCAGCGAGGGCCACGAAAAGCAGCAGCAGCAGCGGCGGCGGCAGTGAGCGTGATCGAACCGATCCCCATCCCCACTGGCGTGGCTTTGGCCCCACTGGCCGATTTACCCCCTAGATGTGGAGAGAGCCTGTTCCCTCGGGTTTCGAGGGGCCGATGGCCACTTGGGGAAGGAGATGGTATGTAGACAAGCGCGCTCCACTACTCGCAAATGAACTACTCGCAAATGGCCTGGATCCGCCGCGGGGGATGATCCATCACGTCGAGACAAATATTTTCTGTCGGACGCTTGCGAGGAGGCAGTTTGCGAGTAGTGGAACGGGCTCGGCGAATATGGTTGGGGCAGGAACGGGAGGCACGGAAGCGCGGAGCAACAGGGAACGACAGCGGCAGCGGCAGGGGGAGGCGGAGCAGCAGAGGGTCGCACGCACGCGCGGGGGGCAGGGCGGCATCTCCTTGAAGCCGCTGAGCACGATCGACGACACGCTCTGCACCTCGCCAAAGCCCCATGGTGGGCGGCCGGGAGGTGTTCCGCCCGCGCCCATCCCTCCTTCTTATCATTATCACCCTCCCTCTGCTCCATGAAAATAATTCCGATATGTTTAACCTTTTTCCTATATATGTAGAACGGTGCCGATCTACTTAGATCCGCCTAACTAGATAAAACTTAGTGATCTAAATAGAATCTTTTTTTGAAAGCCGATCTATGTAGACAATTCTTTCTGTAAACACAAACCCGGTCGATGTAGATCGGTTGATTTTCCCAAGAGGCCCAACATGGGTGTCAGAAGGAAAAAAAAAAAAGGGGGGGAAACAAAAATCAAACAAAAGCTTGTATTTCTGAAAAAAATGATTTTTCTTGCCAGCTCACAAGGCTCAACATCGTCTACATGAGGCAGCGGCCAGGGGCTCCTCGTATATACACGAGGCAGCGGCCAGGGGATCCTCGTCTAAGGAGCCCCTCGGCGCGAGGGAGGACGGAGAGGGGGTATGTCGCCGCGGCTGTTCGCGGATCCGATGCACATTTAAACTCGAAGCTAAGCGCTCGCGCACCGCGCGCCGCACCCCCTGGCCCCGCCAAAAG